GCAGACATGCAAGCTGTGGAGGGACATGTACGGTTTGTGGATTTGACCTCAGAGACTCAGCTTGATTTGCCAGGCAGTGAGCTGGCTGGGCTGAAGAGTCCAGCTTTTCCCCAGGAGGAGAGGCTCCAAACCCATAAACCAAACCTGTTGCCGTTTAGTCGATTCCAACTCATAGCAACCCTACTGGACAGAGTCCAACTACCCCATGAAGTTTCCAAGAGCAGCTGGTGGATTAAAACTCCCAACCTTTTGGATAGCAGCCGAGCTCTTAACCACTGCACCACCAGGGCTCCAGGAAGGGCTAGGCTGCACCCAAACCCAGCTTCCCATAGATAGGATTGGTGGCTTTCTATCTCCAGTAGGAGGGGCTGTAACATCAAACAAGCCCTCTGAGATCTCCAGTTGCTAGACACCTGTATTTCCTAGCTCAGTCTCTTTGGTGCCTGAATCACAATATTTACCACCCTCAGAGATATGGCCATTCTCATGCTGGTACTGTAGGAAGGTAGGATAGCAAGATGACAGGGTCCCTCCTATGGAACACACACATGCTATGTGTCCAACAGCATCAGGCTCCTGCCAACTCTTTGTAGGATACTGAGAGAGTGGAGGACCATATGTCACTTCTAGCCCACCCTTCGCATTTATATTGCTGTTGTTAGCTGCCTTTCAGTCATCTCCAACCCATGGTGACCTTATACATAACAGAATGAAATGTTGCCCAGTTCTCTACCATCTTCATGATCATTGGTATGTGTCTTAGCTCCCTGGTGCTGCTATAAAATGCCACAAGTGGGAGGCTTTAACAAACAGAAATTGTCTCAGTTTGTTGTTGTTGTTAGGTGCTGTTGAGTCAATTTTTGATTCATAGCAACCCCCTATGTGACAGAGTAGAACTATCCCATAGGGTTTTCTAGGCTGTAAACTTTACAGGAGCAGATCGCCAGGTCTTTAAACTAGAAAGTTTTTAAGTGTAAAATACTACAATTAAATATTGGAGGATAAATCACACAACATTCCTCAATAGCACAGCAAACAACACATTTAAAATATAAAGAACTTGACTAGTCACAAAATTAACATCTAAAATATGACATACCAAGTTTTAGATCTGAATACTAAAAACTAAACCTGTTGCCGTAGAGTCGATTCAAACTCACAGCGACCCTGTAGGATAGAGTAGAACTGCCCCTTAGGGTTTCCAATGAGCAGCTGGTGGATTCCAACTGCCAACCTTTTGGTTAGCAGCCGAGCTCTTAACCACAGATCTGAACAGGGAGGTGTTAAGGTCGTTCTAAGTGGGGAAAAAACTCAAGTCTTTATTTACTGAGCGACATTAAGCAAACAATTTCCTGCCTGTATGGCTAAGTATATTCCAAGATAATGCCAAATCAATGTTCAACTGGAAAATTTGCTCTGATGCCAGTCATAAAGAGTGTGTCTACCTTGCAGCCTAGAATAAGGGATAGAGGACTGAACTAGGAAGAGCAAAGTACATGCCCTGGTTCTACTTACCAAGGTGGATCCACCTGTTTCTTAAATGTTCCTAAGCGCCAGGAACTGGACTAAGTGCTTTATCTTGTTTAATCCCTCCACCAACAGTCCTATGAAATTGGTACTGTCATCACCCTCATTTTACGGATGAGGAAACAGAGGCCCAGAGAGGTTGAATAACTTGCCCAAGGTTACACAACCAGTAAAAATGACTCCAGAAGGCATACTCTTAAGTACAATATATAACCATCTCCATAATATGAGTTTAGTAACACCTTTCAATACAACACATCTCTCTTTATCTTGTTCAATTATTCAGCTACAAGTGACTGTTGACCAAGGCTTGGTTATAATAAAAGTCTTCTGATTCTCTTAGATTTCCTCCTCCCCCTCTGGCCAGGTGCTCTCCTCAAAGTCTTCTCATTTCCTTCTTCCTTTGTCCCAGGTCTTAAGTGTGGGATTCCTCATAGCTCTTCCCTTTCTCAATGACTTCACCTTTCCTCATGGCTCCCACTATTAACCACATAAGGAAACTCTGCATCTGTACCCGATAGATTCAGACTGATATCTTCCCAGATTGTATATGCCAAAAGAATAAGGATTTGTGTCTGTTTTGTTCAATGATTTATCTCCACCCCCTATACTTGGCACTGGCGTAGTAGTTAAGTGCTACAGCTGCTAACCAAAAGGTTGGCAGTTCGAATCCACAGGGTGCTCCTTGGAAACTCTATGGGGCAGTTCTACTCTGACCTATAGGGTCTCTATGAGTTGAATCGACTCGACGGCAATGGGGTTTTATACCTGGCAAAAGTTGTTGTTGTTAGGTGTCATTGAGCTGGTTCTGACTCATGGTGACCCTACGTACAACAGAACAAAACACAGTCAGGTCCTGTGCCATCCTCACAATCGTTGTTATGCTCGAGCCCATTGTAGCAGCCACTGCATCAGTCCATCTCTTTGAGGGTCTTCCTCTTTTTCACTGACCCTCTACTTTACCAAGCATGATGTCCTTCTCCAAAGACTGGTCCCTCCAGATAACATGTCTTTGCTTCTAATTAGCATTCTGGCTGTACTTCTTCCAAGACAGATTTGTTTGTTCTTCTAGCAGTCCACAGTATATTCAATATTCTTCATCAACACCATAATTCAAAGCTATCAATTCTTCTTCAGTCTTCTCTATTCATTGTCCAGCTTCCACATGTGATTGAAAACACCATGGCTTGGGTCAGGCGCACCTTAGTTTTTAAAGTGGTATCTTTGCTTTTTAACACTTTGAAGAGGTCTTTTGCAGCAGATTTGCCCAATGCAATGCATCATTTCATTTCCTGACTGCTGCTTCCATGGGTGTTGATTGTGGATCTAAGTAAAACGAAATCCTTGACAACTTCAAGCTTTTCTTCATTTATCATGATGTTGCTTATTGGTCCAGTTGTGAGGATTTTTGTTTTATGTTGAGGTGTAATCCCTACTGAAGGCTATGGTCTTTGATCTTCATCAGTAAGTACTTCAAGTCCTCTTCACTTTCAGCAAGCAAGGTTGTACCATCTGCATATTACAGGTTGTTAATGAGTCTTCCTCTAATCATGATGTTGCTTTCTTCTTCATATAGTCCAGTTTCTCGGATTATTTCCTAAGCATACAGATTAAATATGTATGGTGAAAGGATACAACTCTGACGCACACCTTTCTTGACTTTAAACCATACAGTATCCCCTTGTTCTGTTTGAACAACTGCCTCTTGATCTATGTACAGGTTCCTCATGAGCACAATTAAGTGTTCTGGAATT